TCTTCTGCTTATGCCTGCTTATTATATTCCCCCCTCTAAACAGCATGGTTAGAAATTATAGTATTAAATCATTTTAAATTCCATTGCCATGCCACATTTAATTTCTTGTGTTTAGTACTTGAAATATGAGACTATATCATAACTTAGTTGTAAAATTAAATTTGCTATCTAAATCCACGGATTATTTTATTGTAGTGGTAACCTTAAACTTTTCATTTTTAATAAGATTTACAGATTTTGATTTTGCTATAAGAAATTATAAAACATGATCTGATTTGATTGAGTTCCAACATTTTAACACAAGTATTTTAGAAATAAATAAAAGTGATTATTATTTCCTTTTCAATGTTAAAATAATTGTGCAGCATGATAAGAAAGGAATATGATATTTATGACTGGAATCAAAGATTATAAATGTTTTAAAGCATGATTAATAGCTAATATATTAAAACACATAAAAGCATATTTATTATGTTGAATCACACGAAATTGCTGTTTTTAGTAGGATAAAACATGGTCAAATTTTGTCAATTTTGTTTGACTCAACATATACTATATTAGTTAGGAGGGCCTACATATTCCTACTGCCTGGTTTAATCCAAATGAAGCTGTATGATACTTAGCCCTAAGTGAGTTAGCCCATAGAGAAGACCTAATGCCAATTGTTTTCTCTCTTGATTTAAGGTCGGCTTGCAGGCTATTTGCTCTGCGATATGTCTATCTTAAAGTGGTTATAGATGAAAGAAAGAAAACAAAAGTAACTAATTTAGTTACTTAAAATGGAAGTTTAATATTTTTAAAAATCCAGAAGTTAGGATGTCATAGTTAAGACTATGAATTAAACTGTGTTTTGGGGATTATCTGTATGACTCTGTCTCTGATCAATATATATAAACGACATTTGAGTAGACTGTAAAATGAGTATGTTTCCAGATGAGATCGAGATGATACTAAATATTTGAGAATATCTGCAGATTTTTTAGCTGAGGGAGGAAAGTGGTTTACTACAGGGCGAGTCCTTCTTAGAGTCAGCAGATCTATGCTCTCATCGTAGTTCAGTCACTGGCAGTCTGTGTGAAATTAGCAAGTCCCCAAACCCGTCTGGAAGCATTTCATTTGTTCACTTTACCGACAACTCTTAGTGCACATATAAATTCACACTTACTTAGCTACAACTCTGTTGTTCCCAGGAGCCCAACCCAGAGATTTGGAGTCTTTGGATTAGAAAAGCTCTGTTAACCCTTCTTGGTCTCACGTTCTAATTCCTATTAATCTAAGAAGAATTAGCAACAACTGAGGAAAAGCAAACAAATTGGAAATTTGAAAACATGAAAATGAGACTAACCACTCAAGCTGATAATTATGTATGAGTTCTTTCTGTTTGGTGGCCAGAAACCAGACAGTTAAGTTGATGAGCCAGAATGTCCTGCTGGTGCTGGCTGCAGCCTGAAAGGAAATAATCCAGATAACGATTTAATGGGATGCTTCTTAAAAAGAGAAGCTGGTACCCTCCAAGAAGCATGGTCCAGAGTAAACATTTTTTCAACCATATTGCTTAAATAAAAACCCAGAGATGTTGCATCAATGGTCAGCCTCCATGAGGTTCCATTTCCTCTGCCGTAAAAATATTCCTTTTAGCTGTTCCCTGTCAGTCATTGTCAGTCTCTGTCAGTTTTACTTTTCATTGTTAAGTGCTTCTATATGACAGTTTTCCAGTTTATACTTACAATAAAAAAGGAAAATAAATGAAATCTTAACTACGTGGTAACTACAAACATAGTAACAGAAGGGTAATATTCAGGTGCTTTCTATGAGAGGCAATGTGTACAATAGATATGACACAGACTGTCATATGTCAGCCTGGGTTTGAATCATCTTAGATCACCTATCTTATATTTTATTGTTCTTATGAAATCTGTAACCCAGGTCAGGTTATTTGAACGTTCAGTGACTCAGTATCTATAATTATAAATTGGGGATGGTGATAATAGGATTGTAGTAAGGGTTATATAAGTTAATTTGTGTAACACACTTATACCAATGCCTGGCACATCGTAAGTGGCACATAATTGTAATAGTAATTTGCTGTATGACTGTTTCCTTTATAGCAGCTTTACATGAAAGTGATTGCTTTTGTATAACCCGAGTCATGACTCTTTTAAACTGGTGTCTTTGACTGAATTATCATAGCATGATAGACTATCAGTTTTGTAAGAAGTGGCTCAGAAAATCAAACCACACGTAACACGTTTGCTTCTGTGGCTATATCTAGATAAGGTGCTGGATATAATTTTGGAAGTCGAATAACCAGTTAATGTACTTCGGTCCCCTTTTTGCTTTTCTTTTTTTCCATTCTCTTGAGACTTTATTTTTCGGGCTCTTTTTCTGAGCTGTATGCATTCATATTTAATAATTGCCATTTTTATTCTTTTTTGTAGTATTAAATATTAAACATCAGGCAAAATACCTCTTTTAATTTCCCTTCGGAGTAATAAAATATAACCAGTAACTTTTTCTTGAGATCTGCAGCAATACTCTTTGTCAAAACAGAAGTGCTTAATAAAGCCTGGAAAACACCTATGAAAAGCTCTTAGAAAGAGTATTATATATTGTATTAAGTGAAATATATCAAATAAAGCAAACAGCTGAGAGACGAAGTGGCACATATTTGGTCTTAGGAAGCTCAGGCATAAGATAAACTCCAGATATCGAAGCGTTTCAGTGATTAATTTTAATGACTTCATTCATACTGAGATTATTAGCACTAATAAGCATAACTTTTTTATAAATCTTAGACGAGGTTTCTGATTGCTCAGCAGATACTAATTCCAAACTCTCAGATTTTGACACCTAACAGTGTTCCTCTAAATGAGTATTTAATTTTACATTACCAAATTACATATTTAGACCAGTGAAGTAACATTAGAGTATGCATTCCTATGTAATCAGTTGTGCTCACAAAAGGAATTTCTAGGTGTCTCTTTGTGAGAGTGCAAGGGTGATGTTAAAAATACTAACCTGTCAGACCACAGGCTCCAACAGATAGAATGGAGGCTGGCCATGGAGCTAGAGTGAGGTACTGGAGTACTCTTGTTTCATCAGGGTTTCACACTGTAGTGCTGGACAGCAGAGGGTGAAAGGCTTTGTGAAGGAGGCTGGGGAAGCAAGAAGAGGGAGCTTAAAGGAACTGGGGCCCCAACTACTTAACATCTTCAGCCATGCAGCGCATCCCGAGGAAGTGTATATAGCATCCTTGTGGGACATCATGTGAAAAAGCCAAGCATAATGAGGCAATACCCTTGCTACCCAAAGAGGTTTGAAGAAAAATCAATATTTATCTCTCTTTCATGGATGTTGTTATATTCCTTGCTGACAAAAGAAATTGTAATTTCATTCAGATTTGCTTAAAGTTTCTCAAACTCAAAAAAACAAAAACACAAACAAATTACTTAACCTGGAGAAAAATTTGTTTAAAATCTCATTATCCTTATGTTTAACTACATAATATTTGCATTTTCTTTTTGTCAAATTGTAATAATTATTTAGAATATTTCTCATGCTCATTTAATCCATTTGAATTTCTGGAAATGATCAAAGGTATTCTAAACAGTAGTAGAGACAATCTGTAATTTATATTTTGGAGCTCATGAGTCAAATTCTTTTGAAAGTTTGTAATTTAAATGAAATGAATAAATTTTATTAGAGATTTTACTTTCCAAAATTAAAGTAAATAATATATATTTTCTATTCACTGGAGGTGAGAATCTAAGGAGGGGCTTATTATATCCAGTATATCAAAATATAACTTGTTCTAAATAAGATACTATAAAAAGAAACCCCAAATTTTGTTTAAAAATTCGCACTTTGTTCAATTTAAAAGAGAATTCTAAGATAGTTTCTGTTATTCTTTTTTGAATATCAATTATTATAAGACATTAGAGACAAAAGAAGCTTGTTAAATTGCCAAAATGGGTATGTGTCCTTCTAAGGTATTGTTCTACTTTTACATTTTTCTCCCATTTTTCTTTTCTTTTGTCTTCTTTTTCTTTATTTCCTTTTTCTTTCTTCCTTTAGATTAAAATTTTTTCAAAATTTTTTCTTTTTACAATTCAAAACAATATCCAGAAACCAGTATAGCTCTAAAGCAGACGCTTAACTACGTTACGGACAAATCTCTGGCAGGTTAAATTTTCATGGCCCATGGTTCAGATTTACTTTAAATATCAACATTAAAGATTAATTTATGTAGTTTTTGATTTTTATAAAAAACTTAATTGGTAATTGTTACAATTTTAACAAACATTTATTGAATTTCATCTACATACAATTATGCAAGATTTATAGGGGCTACAGAGATATATAAAAGAAAATCTAAGGCCCCTTGTATCTTATAACAAAGAACGTGCGATCAGACATGGTGTGACCTAGACAGGTCACTCGGCCACAAGCTATCTCTGTCAAGAATCTTATAAGGAGAGGAGGCTAGACTGTTGGCATGTAGAGATGGTTCCTCTATGGAGCTTGTCAGGCTACAGAGATGATGATGGGACCAATCTAACGATCCCTCTCTTTTGTAGAACAAAAATGGAATCAAAGGACTTCCTTACTTACTCGCCATTTGCCTTATGCTCTTACCTACATATGTCTTCTACTCTCAGTAAATGACGTACGTGCGTTGAGAGCTACACACCAACGTTCCCTTTGCAACAAGTTGCACTAATCAAGGTCATTTGTAATATTTTTGTTGTTAATTATTTGTTCTAGAATCATCTTAATGTCCTAAAGGGAAAATCTTGGAAGAGATGCTATCATATTGCTTTCTAATTGCTTTTGAAAGAAAGCATTTAATTTATTTCTTTTTTCATCTTCCTTTTGGTGAATATACCTTAGGGTCGTTACTTGGTGAGGAATAGACATTTAATATAGCACAGAAAACATGCACTCTCCACTGTCTATATTATTATGTCTAAGGTTCTCTAATGAGTTCTTCTTCCTTGCAGGACGGTTCTTTTCACTCTGACTTCTGTTGTTGTACTTGTCATTACAACTGACTGGATCAGCTGGGACAAATTGAATCGGGGTTTTCTGCCTAGTGATGAAGTTTCTAGAGCATTCCTGGCTTCTTTCATCTTGGTCTTTGACCTCCTTATTGTAATGCAGGTAAGTGTCTTTGTATTTCCCCTTCTCACTGAAGCTGCTCTATGCTTTGTTCTCAGTTTAAAAAACACGATACAACAAAAGGCTGCATAAAGCTAGAGAAGAGCATCATTCACGGTTGCTGTTAATGGGGCCTTCTCTGATCATATTTTCAACAATTCTACTGGGAGGATGAGCCAATTGGGCTTTTATGAGAGGGGCACCGAAAAATCATTGTATGAACAATTCAAGGTGGGCCCCTAGAAACCATACAGCATGGTGGTTTCCTGCCAAGGCTTCGGGGAAAAACAAAACAAAACAAAACACGAAAGACCCCCTTGTCATTTCGTAAATGGAAAGCTGCAGAGATGAGGATGATACAGAGCCAGCAAAACAGGGATAAGCAATTACCAAAGCAGCTCAGGTTTTATAGCATTTGAAAAACGGAATAATGTAAAAATGCTTTTTCTGGTTATGGAAATCATCACTTTCTTTCAGTATTCACCAGAGACTCTTCCATTTTCATATGAACAATATTTCTGCCCTGCTTAGCAAGAGGTTGTTTATGCAAGAGCTAACCAGTGCTACTTGTTTAATCTTCGGGTGTGACTGCTTTGGGGTCTTAGGAGTGTCCTTTGAAAGGGACAGAAAGAGACATGAACTATTTCTAGGCACTTTGTCTTGCTCATTACATGTCCATTTGCTAGACATTTTCTTATTGCTTTCATAAGGCAATTTTGAGTTTTTCCCTCTCGAAGCATTGTGAGTTACTAGAACAAAGGCTGCCATTGCCGAAGGGAAAGTATACTCTATTGTGTTCCAAATTTATGTGAGATGTCACAGCAGATTGGTGTTCTCATTTCTAAGGCTAAAGAGAGGCCTGTATAAGAGATATCCTATAGTGTCTTAAAAGAGAAAAACAGTTCCTAGAGTATATAAAAACTATTTTAATGGATGATAATTTAAAATACATTATTGCTTTGAAAATTATTTAAAGACATAGAATTGAATTTTTTTCTCATTTAAATATCGATTTTTTTTTTATTTTATTTCCTGTGGGATAATTTGGAATAGTGGAGAAAGCCCTGGATTTTGAACAAGGAATCATTGGCAGGTTCTAAATCTGTCTCTCACTTGCTGAAAGACTTCCTCTGGATATTTATAAAACTGAATTTATAGCACTTATGCAATAATGTATCATGTGTTGCTTGTTTAAAGGCTATTCTTAGCTCCTTTCATCTAATACTCCTAATTAATATACTTCCTTATGTGAAATATCTGCTTTGGTCAAGTGGCCACTGGTACCTATTAAAACCCATTTTAGAGTCAAAGGTACTAGTAGATAAGTAGACCACCGCCTTGTGAATTTGTTTAAATTTGTATATGTAAGAGCACAAATTTCCTGATTTTCTACTACCATCCACTACCTCCTACCTTATTTGTGTAGCTTTAATTATTCTTCCAACATGTCCAGTAAAATCAGGGACTTGAAATGGGAGAGTGTAACATTACAATTTACAGATATTATGGACTCACTCAAGAAGTACCTAAAAAAGAGAGATAGAAGAAAGGAAGGATAGGATTTATACAGGCAGAGTCAGCAGGATTGGGAAGAGAAAGACATTTTACAAGAAGGAAATGGCATGAAAATGTTTACTGACTACTAAAGCGCTGAAATGTTCAGAAAGTAACCAGAGCACAAATTGATTGAAGATAGAGAATTGTGCTGAGGAATATATCCATTTGGACCATTTTGGCTACAAGTAACAATAACCCTGCCAAGCTAGCTTCATCAAAGAGGGAATATATTACTGTGTTATAAAGATGTCCTACAGAATTAGGGGAGGGATGCAGTTGCATTTTGGGGACACATGTAACAAAGAACCAGGACCTAGCTTTTCTTTTTTACCTCTCATCTTCCCCGCCCCCTCCCCATTTCTGCCTTTTTCTCTCTTATGGTAAAGCAGCTTTTTCAGCTTCCTAGTTCACATGGAAGAAAGTGGACACAGCCAACTCCTCAGAAGGAGACCATTCTCTAGGTGTCAGGCCTAATTCCAGATTACCAGGGAAGGGATTGCAAGGACTGTATTGTTCTTTGCCCATCTGTGAGTTGTCTGGGGGTGAGGCAGTCCCAAAGAAGAGGAGGGAGAGGTTGGGCCTCAACAACCAAATTAGTAAGTGTCTAATACAAAGAGGAGTCAAAAATGAGGCCCCCAAATAAGTCTCTCAACTCTTTTTTTCTCTCCCCAACACTGCGTCAGCTAGCCAAGCCTATTGATTAGCCTTTCGCTATGTCTCTCTTGTAGCCTAACCCTTCCTTCTCATTTCTCTGCCACCATTCCAGTCCTGACTCATCTTTATACTATTATTAAATAATCTCCTTTGGAACCCTCTGCCACTAGATGTCCCTGTCCCATATACCTTACACAGTTCACCGTCATAACTTTAATAACTGAAATGCCATGTTGTACGTTCCACTTCTCAGCCAAAAATAGTCAGTGACTCCTCATTGTCCAAGAATAAAGTCCAGACTTCAGGAGCTCTCTCTGAGTGCCCTCCACAGTCTGGCCCTGGCTGTGTTTTCTCCCACGTCTTCAATGCTCTAGCTCTACCCCAGACCAAAGGGCTTGTTGCTTGGCCCTTGACCACAGCGCACTTACTCCAGGATGTCTGTGAGCCTCTTTTTCCTCCCCAGATGTATCTCTCTTCTGCTCTGCTCATCTAGACCCTATCACTGAGGACCATTTCAGCTCCCTCTCATTACAACCATGTGATTATTTCCTTCTGTAGCACTTTGTACCTGGATTGCAAATCAGTATTTTCTATAGTGCAGGAACTATAGCTTATAACTATATATCCCTGGAGGCTCCCCAGCACAGCATTTCACTCAGGCAGCAGCAGTAGGTTCAGAGTAATAACTGCTTGATGAGGATAAAGAAATGGCATTTCAGCACAGAGTCTCTTGCAAACTCTGTCCCCTTTGGGGAGCATCACGTTGAAGTTTCAGGAACTAACACAAGTGGTAAGAGAGTGAATTTAAGGAAACAGAGCCCCAGAAGGTACTCAAGGGCTTTAAAAATATATAGCAAAAATGTCCTATTAAGTCTGTAACTAACTAAACTGGAATCTAATCGATCCCATATCCACATATTTCAGACAAAAGAAAAATAGAAAAGTAGCAAAATTAGTGGAAATGGAGAGAGTACTTTCACTAAAAGATTTGTCTTCATTAAAATTACTTAAATGATTTAAAAGCAATTGATGCTAGGCTTTTCTAATGGTAGGAAAATTCAGATTATAATATTGAAAGATATTTTAATGTTTGGTTAAAAAGAAAGAAAGAAACCATTAGGATATGGTACTGCTTCTGTAAAGATTTTATTTTAACAAAAATTAGTAGGTGGATTCTGAACACTTTTAGAGAAAGTATAATTATTTGTTTTTGTGAATATTCATTAAACAGGATTTTTCTACATTTATTGTGAAAACTATTGTATCATATTTTTCTAGAGATCTAGTTAAGTCTCTAGCACTAAGGCATAAACAGATGCTAGTAAAATATAACATAACTCATATAAATCACTCATTACTACAAAACATGAGAAGTAAATTGTAAAAAACACGTCCCTCTAAGGAAATCTTATCTCAAATTCTTTTTAGTATTTATAATTATGGCATTGATTTTATTATGCACCTTTAGTTTATTACGTAGACATTTAATTTTCAGTTATATCCTACCCATTCATCTCCGCTAGATTGAAGAAAAGATATATCTAATGTATATAAAAGTTAAAAATATGATGTGTCATAGAGTAAGCAAAGAAAAAAAGTGTCTTAGGGGTTCACCAAAGAGAGACAGACAGACAGACAGACAGACAGACAGACAGAGACCAGGCTAGACAGAGTAGTAGGAGAAATTTTCAAAGACACAAGAGTAGAAGGGCAAGCAGCTAGATTTGAAAAGGCAGAACAATGAATAAGAATATTTTTTCCAGCTGGGAATAGCATCATAATCATCAAGGTAAAAACTCAGTTTTGTTCCATTAAGTTCAGGAAACATTTACAAATTCATTCTTAGTGTGCATCACATCAGGTGCAAGAAACAGAGGACAGGAGAAAGGAGATCAAAGATCACTGACACAGCCCACAGGAGTTTGTAGTTGCATAGAGGAATTCACAATTCGATAGAATAAATATGAGTAGAAAAGTAGAGATGTTTTAGGAAGACTGTTTTTATTTAGAAGCATTATTCAGGTAGAAAGTAAACAGTGCTACCTTTGCTATATTTTAAATTCATCTCTCCCACCCTCCCAGGATCTGGCTGCTATATGAAGGCTTTAGAAGAGATGAAGTTTCTCTTTATAAGATAAAGAATGTTCTGTGCTTTTTAGTATACAGGAAGAGAGAGAGTGAAAGAGGGAAAAGAGGAAGAGGAAGAAGTGGGGAAGAGAGGCAAGTAGCTTCCTCAATGGAGATTGTGTGTGTGTGTGTGTGTGTGTGAGTTGAGGGGGGGAGTTGAGTTGAGTTGAGGAGCCAGTAAAATCCTACAGTGTGTGTGGAATCCTCACACTGTTGATACATCTTTTCAACACTTCTCTTTCTTGTAATTTATCTATGTACCTGCCTAGTACCTTCATACCTATGTCTCTACATACCTCCTGTAATAAGTGAGTTCCTCAAGGAGAGGAAATATATTTTTTCAATTTTTTTATTCCCACAGCTAACTCATGTTCAGTGCACTGTAGTTTCACCATAAATATTTTGCCGAATGAAAGAACAAAGGAATGAACATAACATTATTTCAAAAAAGCCAAAGAACATGAGATTTTTTAAGAAGTAAAACATTTACCGACAGCAGGAGAATGAACCATCAATAATATTAGATTAGTTCATTTCCATTGAATTATGATCTTACAAATATTAAATATCCAAATAAAAATATGAATAAATTGCTCCATTAAGTGTTAAAAAGGACTCTTAGTCTCATTGAAAAGCACTTACAGAGAAGTGATATTTTCTGAAAA